GTGTCCCTGGTGGTCCCGGTGTCACTGGTGTCCCTGGTGGTCCCGGTGTCCCTGGTGGTCCCGGTGTCACCGGTGTCCCCGTTGTCCAGGTGGGCAACGCGGTGCCCCCTCCCCTGGCCAAGGCCATCGGGCTGGAGATCAAGGCCTGCGCTGTGGCCAAACTGCGCCAGGACACGGCCGGTGAGTGACCGGCACGGGGGGCCACCATTGGGGTCACCGTTGGGGTCAGGGGGGTCACCATTTGGGGTCAGGGAGGTCACTGGTGTCACCATCTCCTCCTGGGGGTCCCAGGTGGGATCATTGGGGTCAGTGGGTGTGGGGGTGTCACTGTCCCCTCCCAGAGGTCCCCACTGGGGTCAGGGGGGTCACCAGTGTCACCATCCCCTCCCAGGGGTCCCCACTGGGGTCAGGGGGGTCACCAACATCACTGTCCCCTCCCAGGGGTCCCTGTTGGGGTTGGTGGGTTTGGGGTGTCACTGTCCCCTCCCGGGGTCCCTGTTGGTGTCCCCATTGTCAGGGGTGTCCGCGGTGTGTCCCCGGTGTCCCTGTTGTCAGGGCTGTCCCTGTTATCAGGGGTGTCCCTGGTGTCAGGGGTGTCCCTGTTGTCAGGGCTGTCCCTGTTGTCAGGGGTGTCCCTGTTGTCAGGGCTGTCCCCAGGTGTCCCCGGTGTCACTGTGTCCCCGCTGTCCCCGCAGGTTCCCGGGTGGCACCGATGGAGCCGTTGGAGCCCTTGGAAGCCACCGGCTGAGGCGGCGCCGGAGCCCGGAGAGACCCCTGGGGGGGTCAGGGGGCCTGGGGCTGCTTGGGTTGGTTTGGCTGGTTTGGGCTTTTCTGGGGATTTTTGCTTTGCTTTGTTTTTCTTTTTTTCCCCCTCTATTTTTTTTCTCTTTTTTTTTCTCTTTGTTTCTCGTTTTTCCAATTTTTTCTCTTTTTATTTTTTTCTCTTTTTTCTTCTTTTTTTTTCTTTTTTCCCCCTTTTCCCCGCTCATTTTTTCCTCTTTTTTCCTCTTATTTTTCCTTCCCCTTTTGACTGTATTTCTCTTTCTTCCCCCCCTTTTCCCCTCTTTTTTCCCTTGCCTTTTTATCTTTTT